TTGGAGGACTGCGAAAGTGGTATAATTTGCTACCTCAAGCATTTAAAACCTATGGGTGTTCCAAGTGCTCTGCCTTGAAATATCACATGAGTAAGTTTGTAACACCTGTCACCTGTATTTTCAAGATATTTGTGTCAGGCAGGATAAAAAAATCTGTGCTTCAAACAGCATATCAGGTTAATATCTATATAAGCAAAGCTGTGGAAGAACTGATCTATTTCAAATGGAGGCAAAAATACATTTTCTAATTTTGAAAAGAGAATTTAAAAAAAATAAAAGTTACTGCCATTAAAAAGAAGGTGAGAGGATGACATTTTAGGAGCTCTGATACCAGTATTATGACCATGAATTAGTTTCACTTTGCTCTTAAGATCAGGGAGATAAATGACCTGACACTGCCATGTCTAGAACACTATCTTTCATTTTTATGCTTTTTGACCCATAAAACCAATAGAAGATGCCCCAGAATTATTCCAGCAGAAGTTTCCAATACCATTGTGATACAAATGAATGAAAGCCCCAGGATAATTGAACTTTTCACATACATGCAAAACCCCACGCTGACTTTGGCAAGGCCAAATCCCTGCTGTTCCCTGGGCCTTTTGTTTCACGTGGTAATGTTCTCACTAGTACCTGGCATGAAAATAATCTGAGTTAAATGGAAGCCAGTGCCTTTCAAAGCTAAACCCCACAATGTTTCCTTGTTAGACTGGCTAAATTTTATTAAGTATGGCATTTCAAATTGTACTTGGGGTCAAAGACAAATGATTTTTTTTTCTTCTAATTTAATCAGTATGAAAGAACTGAGAAATCTCTAACTTTCCAACATGAACAGAGATCAGTTTCTTGGGCACCTATATCAAACTCTAACAAAATTGTTGTCTTTTCTCAGCTCAGTTACACTGTACCTCTTGATTTAAACTACTCACATACTCAGGCAATATCTGTAACAGTAAACCCTCAGTTTCTATTTGAAAAAAACAAAATACAAAAATACTTTTACTTGTTTATAAAATAATCTCGTCTCAGAAGTAATATTTTTCAACAAAATAATTTAAAGTAATTTTCATGTAGCATGCATTTACTTTTGCTGATTCTATTTAACCTAAACATGCATCATTTAAATCTCTGGTCAATTATATAGTAAATGACAAGAATAAAGAAAAAAATTTGGTCTTATCTGTGTATCTAAATTAATTACAATTGTACAACATATAATCAGAACAGTGGGTCTCAATGTGAATCTGAAACCACTGAACAAAAGGAATCTTAAGCTTCAAATTTAATAAAGCAAATGCCAATCTGACAGGCTGTGTAAAACAAATGTGGCATTCACTCTGTAGTTTCAAAACACAGCTGCAAACAGGCTAAGTCAGTGGTTACAAAAAAACTTTCATTGTATAAGTATCATAAATATTACTATGAATGTGTACCTGAATATGGGGAATTCAAAATTAATCAGAATATGTTCATTTAATTTGATACACAAAAAAATCTCCACAAAATGCTTTAATTAGGTTGGTTACATACCACAACTTTTCTTTCCCCAAACTAAAAATTTCCCCAGAGATGTAATACCTGCTTCAGTCTTGTATTGATATAATTCACTATCTCAGCAACTAGAACCACACTTACCTGTTCAGTAAATTAATCTTAGACACCTAATTCAAGTCTCCTAGAAGGCATCTTGTTTGGGAAGGTTTCTATTAAAGAGCCTTTGAGCTCTGCTGCTGCACATTATTTAAGCCTGAGTTTAATAGTCAAAGTGCCTGTAGTTAAACACAGCCTCATATGCAATACAAAAAAGTTGCCTAAACAAAACCAAAACCAAACAAAAAGAAAACAAAACCAAAACAATCTCCAACTTACATGAAATGGATCCTCATAGGATGAGAATTATCACAAGCTGTAATAGCACTTTTGATTCAAGCCACATACAAATAGTCTAACCTTAAAGTTCTGGGAGCAATTTTAAAATGTCAAAAGGTATGTCAAGTTCTTAATAACTAAGTCTACATATTTAATTGCCAACAGCCAAAATATGCAAGACAAGAGAGTTATGTTAATTCCAGCTCGAACCCAAATTAATATGTGCTGGAAAATAATGTTTCTTCCTCTTAAACTAGGGAACAGTGCTTGGCTGGCCTGTATTTTAACTGTATCCTTATTTTCTATAAACACCTACTACATTGTTCATTTTAGCTTTATTTTCAAAGCAGTTCAGCACAGGAGATCTCTGCAAGACTATCATGTTACGCCATTGATCCTCACAAGGAGAAGACTCAATTTGCTCATTAATAAGCAACCTGGGTCAAAGGCCACGACTGAGAAAAGACAAAGGGCATTGTTTACACCTGTGTCAATCAGAAAAAGCTCTACTGAAGTCCATTGAGTTATATTTGACTCAAATCCATATGAAAAACTTCTGTGTTTGCTGAATCTGGATTATGTGGCAGCCAGGAATTCACATTTATTAGTCTGTACCAGGAAGCATTACAGACTGCTACATTAAAATACTAGTTTGCTACCCTGGCTTTTTAATCAAAACTGGGTTTTATTCTCTTATTGGCAATTCAAATTCATGTCACTGCTTCAGCCTGCTCACGTGCACTGTGTTACCTAGTGTGCTGCACAGTACGAAGTAATAGATTCTGTAATTTTGGATAAGGGAATTCATCTGAGACAAGGAAACAGTAATTAGTGTCCTACATTTTAAAGAAAAAGAACCAAATTTCTACCTCTTCCAACTATTTGCAACTACAAGCAAACTTCTGGACATGCAAGACTTTGTATTTCTTGACCTTTGACGTTCAAAGAACACTTCTAAAAGTCCAAAAATATTAAAAGCATATTTCTGACTACACAGCCACAAGATGATTTACAAAAAAGGCTTGGGAATTTCCATTTAGCTTGTTCAGGGAGCTGGCTGGAAGCATTGCATGGAATACAACCCCAGAGAGATTTGTCCAGGAGAACTGGCTTACTTTCAAGGACCACCACCTCCAACTTCAAGAAAGGTATTTCCTGACAAGCATGAAACCAAGCAAAGATGGCATGGTTGGACTTAGGAAAGCTAAGGACCTTCTGAAGTGAAATTTGGTGAAGGACATCAGGGTCAATAAAAAAGGGATTCTATAGGTATACTGGCATAAACAGGAAAGCTACAGAAAATGTCTGCCTGCTGCTAAATGGGCTATGGGACCAGTGACAAAGAATACAGAAAAGATCAAGGAATTCAGTGTCCACTCTGCCTCAGTCTTTTAATGGTAGGATTTGCCTTCAGGAATCCCAGGCCTCTGAAACCAGGAAGTCTGAAGCAAGAGAGACTTGACTCTGGGCAGATCACGGATCAGGGTGGGAACACCTAAACAAGCCAGACCTACACAATCAGTGAGACCTGATGGGATGCACCATAAATGTGGAGTGAGCCGGCTGATGTCTTGTTTATCTTGACTTCAAGGCTTCTGGCACTTTAACTTCCTCATAGGCAAACCGGTGAACTCTGGATGAGATAAACTGGCAGTGGGGTGTACTGAGAACTGGCTGCACCCTAAGCTCAAAGGAGATGTCATCAGCAGCACAAAATGCATCTTGACAGTCACTAGTGGTGCTCCCCTGTGGTTGGTACTGGGATCAATACTATTTAACACCTTCATAAATGAGCCAGAGGATGGGGCGGAATGACCCTCAGGAATTTTGCAGCTGATACAAGACTGGGAGGAGCTGTTGAGACACCAGATGGCTGTGCTGCCATTCAGAGGGACCTTGACAGACTGAGAAATGGACATCTGTACTGCTTTTGTTCAGATGTGGTATGAAAATGTGATGCACCATTTCCCAAATGGGAATCTACTGAAATGACGCTGTATTGTCATAGGAATATATTGATTGCACCTAACTGATCAAGAAATATCAAGAAATAAATGGGGGAGGGGGAGGACAGATCATTTAATATGAAGAATTTATGTCCGACATTGTTTAATTCAGTACCAATGTACAAATGGAAGCAATTGCATACATTTGTGTCCTACTTCCAGTTCAGATTTAGCTGAAATACAACAGAGAAAGCAACACAGAGAGGACTTCTTGTTGGTTTGTAAATTTTAGTACACATGGAAAATGTAAGACAATTTATCTGAGTGACGTGGTCTACCAGAGACCTGTAAATGCAATTTCAGAAGCTATCTTTCATGACAGCCACTCAGTAGCAGCAGAAAGCTTAGAAGTCATAAATCATGTTTCAAACACATTCTATTGTTCAAAGTGACAAATCATAGTCATTCAAATTCATACAACCTTAAAATAGTAGTTTCTTCCACCACAAAACTAGCAAAATTTTTAGGGCTCTTCTGAATCAAACTATTTACACTTATTTATGAGCATTCTGAAGTTTGAATATTATGAGGCTTAAATATTTATCATACCACAAACATTTACATAACAATGAGACAAAATAAGAAGAAGCATTGACAAAATGGAGATCAGTAACTTTGATCTCCATTAGTCTATATGGCCCTTCTTCCAAAAGCTATTAATTTGAATTTATCTTACAATTAAATTAATAATCCTCTGGTAACCTTATTGATTATAAACACAACCTGAGCTGGCCCCCACAGGTCAGGATGACTAATGTGAAGATATAAAAGTCAGAGAAGGGATTCATGCCCTCAGCAGTATCAACAATTCCCCCTGGCCATGATGACAAACAAGTGCTAATATATGTCAGAAAAACACAGGATTTTTTAAGTGATGTGAGGTTATACTGTTGTAGTACACAAGTGAAACAAGTGCTTTTAGGACACATAAAGGTGAACCTACTATATGAACCAAAACTTTAAATGAGGTATTTCTCAACCTGTTTATGTTGTCACTAAATATAGGGAGTCCCAAATCTTACTGTACCAAATTTTTTATTATTTCAAACAAACTTCTGTACAAAAACATCAAAGCAGGCCAAGAAATCCCGTGACTTCACAAACAGCACATGACAACTCACAGAATGCTTTAAGGTTTACATTTTTATTATACAAGTGACAAATAGTTTTTCTCTGGGCTACTTAAAGATAAGACTTCATTGTTTGACAAAAAATTGCAGGTAAGCATATATTAACTTCAGTTACCAAAGCTCAAGAGAATGGCCTGTCATCCACCTAATTTACCTAACTGGAAGTGACTATGAACAAAGCAGGATTTTCCCTAACATACATTTTAAAATGTCCCCCCATTAAAAATGGAGCCTGTAAACAGTGGATTTGCTACTGTGAAAAAAAAAGTGTGGTCATTGCTTTCAGAAAAAGAAAAAGATCTAATGTGAGTGAGTTCTACCTCTCTCCCCAACAACATCATAGCAACCGGCTGCTGCACCTGCAGGGCTGTGACATGAATGCAGGAGTTGTGGTGCTGTCCAGCATCGGGACATGCATGACATTGGCACCTGTGGGTTCTGATCAGGTCTGAGAAACCTCACAGGGGTTGCTCTGCTCAGAAATAAGCTCTCAAGTTAATCCCTACTCCAGAGAATTTGTGACATTAATACTGTTTAAGGACTGAGTTCAAAGACACAGTTTGTCACAGTGCAGCCGAGTTCCAGCAGACCAAATGCATCTTCGAAGTCTTAAGGTAATGTTTTTAGAAGAGATGTGCATGAAAATTCCAGTGAAAGCACACAAACCCTGATTTATCTATATGGGGATAAGCAAATGCAAATCTGAATCTGTGCACAAGCACTGGAGTTTCCACACATACATGCAAGCAAAGTACACAAAATCAAACACATTTTCTGAACGTGACCTCTGCAAGAATATGTACAGCAACTGCAGACCACCCAGTAGACACACATAACAGAGCATGAGCACTTTGCTGCTTTTGGCAAAGTATTTCTATTCCATTAACTGGAACATTTACCAGAAAGTAAGAACAAACAACTCAGCAAGGAACTTAACTTTTTGAAGTATCAATCACATCTCAAAAGCCAGTGAAGAGCAGTCAGCTGATAAATATTTCTGTGTTGATTCTGAGTCATCTAATGAATAACACTACCAGGAACTTAATGGAGTTCCTAAGAAAAGATCAGCTCTTAATTTTAAACCATCCCTAGTCTGATGCAGCCGATATGACACCAGGAAGTTTGCTACAGAAGAGTGTACTAGTTTAGATCAGCCAAAAAATTACTGGCTAAAGCTGTCTGGTAGTTAATGTTCACTGTGATATATTTACACTGACAAACCTTTTCCAGTTAAGTCAAGGCATTAGTATTTTCCCTTTCCTTTCTAAATCTAATAAAATTATACAGAGTTTTCAAAATCTATCAATGATCTTTAAGCATATTTTCTCTTCATTTATACTGCATCTGAAAAAGGACATTAATTTCCTAGGCTGTTGAAAGATACAGGTTATACTTGATTAAAAACGTAAAATTACCTGTTTGAAATACATTTTTGGATGCCAGACAGCACATAATCCATAAAATTGGGTGGATCTCCACTTATTACAGGAAAGACAATGCATTTTGTGAGTAATGAACATTCAGGTATTCTCCTATTCATACTAGTTTGACAAGATCCTAAAACTGACCAAAAAAACTGTGCACATGTTCTTCAAAACATACCAAATGAATTTTGCTTTCTCTTATATTAACTTTCTTCTTCTTTGAAGTTCCTTATCTGTGGTACCTTTGACATTTCAGTTTGATTTCCATTTTGTCTTCACTACAACTTCTCTGATAGAGAAGGTGTTTAAGGATTAAAATGCACAGATAAACTGTCTTAACTGAAGTATCTAAGTAAAAAAGTATTTTAAAAGTCAAAAGATAAAGGCTGGAATAAGAACTTAGGTTGTACTATATAAAGTCAGTCAGGTTATGAACAGATTTATATATTTTAGCAATGTGAAGAAAATGGTTATGTAAATACACACAAGTATTAACATCAAACTGTATTAAATTATGTAAACATACACATCTTCTGTGATCAATACAAACATCTACTTGTCTGTGGGTACTACTGCAGCATAGCTCGAATTTGTTTTGAAGTAGATTCATCATTCAGGTGTTTTGTAGTGAACCTAGAAATTACAAGTTAAAACAATAATTTACAAAATGAACAGAGACAGGAAAAGTCTGAACACTTGAGCCTGTTTTTGAAATCAGCACAGTTCAGTTACACAAAGGAGGAATTTACAGGTTCCTCTACTGATCACTGGAATTTAACTGGCAAGAATCTGGTGCTCTTTATCTTCTAAATACCCTATGCAATAAATTATTCCCTGCTAAAAGGTGGAGAACTGTGGCTAAATCCTGTCTGGTATCTGTCTATGACATTGTCATAATCTTGGGTCAAAATTATCTCTTATTTTTTCTAGTTAAAAGCTTCAAAATAAGCAAAATAATGAAAAGACGTAAGAAATATGGTAAATACTAAAATCACTTAGGAATCTAGACTGAATTTTGACATAATCTATGACTTTAATCAGTTTTCTTAAATATTCTGAGAGGACTGAAGAGCCTTAGTGTGTTTTTTTCCATTTAAATCTAAGCATTCTCCACTGTTTATGCTAATAGGGAGACTGATTATAACGTAAGCTGGAAACACACTTGATACCTTTACATTTAACTCCACATCAACTTTAATTCAAAAGATATGATAAGCAAGTGTGGAAGTGCACCTGTCCCTCTTTCCAAGCATTCAACAGCTAGAGAACTCAAAACAGCTCTGAAAAACTTGGGTTTGACAACAACATTGTCAGCTTCAGAGAAGTATCAGACCCCTCTGTGCCTTCCTTCCCAAGACAGCACCATGAACAGGATTGGGATTTAGGATGCTGTTTTCTTGAAGCTGAGCAATTTAGCAAGATAAAAAAACAAAACAAAAAAAAGTCTTACTGAGATGGAAAGGGAGAGGGAGAAGGGAAGTACTTAGGGTTTGAGAAACAGAAATCTGACACTTCATTTCTAAAATGTTCTATAGATTCTGGGGTATTTTATATAGTAAATCTTAGCTAGGATATACTGTTTAAAATTTTAACATTTATTGTTTATTCAAATGAAATGAAATGGGAAGAAATTAATATTTAAAAACCCCAGGTGATGAAGAGGAAACCCGAGAGGATAATCTTATTAAAGCAATGTTCTAAAGTGAAGAATCTTAAATATAAAGAGATTGGGAGAAAAACAAAGAGGAATTGTTTCCTCTTTGCGAGGAAACAATTTTTTCTACGGCTGAATCACACATACCTGAGAGCATTCAGAAGTCCTTCCACAGAGTCAGGTGGTTGTTCCTTTAAAACTTTTATGCATCCCTTCATCTGGGAACAGAAGCATGCCACTATTGAACAATAATATATGAATTGCACTAGCGGAAAACAAGGAAAAAATTCACCATATACAGGCAGGTTTCTTTTCTTACTGAGTGTTAATGCTGTTTTACATGACACAATAAAAGCATTACACCTTATTAAAAATTATCTCAAAGTTAAAAACAACTTCGGAGAAAATAACTACTTTAATAAGTGTTTGTAGAGTGTAAATTATGTATCAAGTGTCTATATTTTAACTTGCACACTGCTTCTTCAAGCCAAGTAAAAAACACAAAAATCAAAACTATCTGATACAAGCTGAAAAAAAAGATTTTGTGAGTTCTGTGTCATTGCTGTTAACTCTAAGAAGAGATGTTTCAACTCTGACTTATTTTTATATTTGCATACAAGGAAATAATTTTCAGTATTCAGTTTTTAGTTGTAAACCTAACCAGCGACAACTTATTATTTGTTTCATAACTAGTGGTTAAAAATTTAATCTAAGAAGTCCATGATGTTGATTTTAACACCACACTGAATGAACATCTTTGTGGAGACTGTAAAAAACAGGCTAAAACTCTGTCCTAATTTACAAAAGGGGAAATGAAGCAGAGAAAGCAGGAGCAGAACTCATTTGACCCATTGTACAGACTCCCTAGCTGGTCAATAGAGAAACAAGGAATTCTTCTAACCTTTTCAGAATATATCTTCCCTAGTAGTACTTTTTTCTTCCCACTGCTACGAAGACATCAAATCTAGCTATTCAGAAATTAACCTAGATTAATTCCATCTTATTCAAAATGACAGACAAAGACAGCTGAGTCAAGATTTGAATCCTTTAATTTTCCAAGTCACACTGGAGTGCTAAATCTACATGTAGACATTTCTTTGCAGCTGAAGAGCACCTCTGCCTTATTAAGGAAGCAGATGATGAAACATTTAATTTAAGTCAGTGTCCCAGCAAAAATTAGTCAGAAAATGTAGCTCAGCATCCCTAACAGGGAGCAGCCCAACAAACACTGCTCACTGCTCAGCTGGTTCATTTCTACCTGGAAAGTGTAACTAGCTTTGCAAATACCAGATCAGATGAGATTGTCAGGCTAGCACCATGTGTTCTGAAGTGACACAGTTATTTTTCCTAAATTAGAGAAGCTCAAGTCTATGTGCACATCACTCAGTACCGGTTTACTTGCCCCAGCAGGTCTGATCAGACCAGACCAAGTCAAAGGGGATAAAAATTCAAACAATTTTTTTTCATTTCTGTTAGAATCAGAATACCTAAACCAAGTAGGATAATGTTGGGGTTTAGGATTCTTCCTTTTGTTTCTTTCTCTCAAGGAATTTTTCTCCCATATGTGTTGCTAGGAGACAATAATGACTGCATACTCAAGAGAGACAAAACTTGCCACAGCTCAGGGGAGGAGAGCAGCTGGCTACTCTCTCTTTTTACCTGGGTGTTTCTCTGGGAAGAGCAGAGACACAACGAAAACTGGATTGGGAAAAAGGGGTTGGGTGCAGCCCCCAGCTCTCTTGTACTCTGGGCATTCAGAGGGGAGAGAGGCTGTACTCGCTGTGGGGAGAATTCATCACCATTGCAAGGCTCCATCTCCTGCTGCCTTTCTTCTACTGGGAGCGGAGCTCTGCTCCGAAGAGAGGCTGTTGCACTGGGACCTTATTAACACCCCACCTAAGCAAAAAAAGTACTCTTCCCCATCTGCTGGGGTGCCTCAGGGCAAACCCCAGGATGCCAAGCCTGCCTTTCCCCTGCCCTGCTCAGAGCCAGGCTGTGGCTGCCCGGCCCCTCAGTTCTTTCAGCTGCACTGTAGCCCTGCACCCCCTGCCTGTCGGGACACGCCACAGTTCCAGCTACAGGTGCAGAGTTTCTCATACAACTCCTCCCTCCACCACGCCAGGACTTGTGCTCCTTCCTGCCATTCCAGCTTGCCGCTCCCGAGGAGCCACTGGGGCACTTTGAACAGATTGCTTTTTACCCTCCCGCCATTGCCGTGTGCTCACGAGCCCACCCCACAGCGCCCCCTGCAGCCGCGGGGGAATCACCGCACCCGCCCCACAGCGCCCCCTGCAGCCGCGGGGGAATCACCGCGCCCGCCCTGCCCACCGGGAGCCAGCAGCGCCCCTGCCGGCCGTGCCCGGAACTGCACCCAAGGGAACAGTGCTTGGGGAGCAGGAACTGTTTGTTGGGTTTTCTGGGATTTTTCTTTTGTTTGTTTTTGCTACCATTGTTGTTGTTTGCTTGCCTTGTTATACACATACATACTAGTAAAGAACTGTTATTGCTTTCCCCGTATCTTTGCCTTGCACTTAATTTCAAAGTTATAATAATTCAGAGAGAAGGGGTCATATTTTCCATTCCAAGGGAGGTTCCTGCCTTCCTTGGCAGACACCTGTCTTTCAAACCAAGACAGATGTCTAAGCTAGGAGACTGTCATTAAGAGCTTAAAATACAGCCTCCAATCTTGAAAGAGTAAGGAAAGGGTAATATACTCCACTGTCCCTGAAATTATCTTGAAATGGCTTGAATGGCTGAAGTGAATAGTTTGGAGAAAAAAATTGTTTCGCACAGTAAAACAAACTCATATTCTGAAATGTTAGGAGATTTTTTGAATTAAAAAAAAAATCATGGAGCTAATTACGCAAAGCAAGATTTGGGACCATGTACTCATTTTTTAAAACTGAGTCGTATGTCTCCTGCCTCCCATTTACACCTACCTAACTTTCCTGCACGATGACAGGGCTTTAGGATAAATGTGAGAAACAAAGTACACACAATGTACATTTGATCCTATCAGAATTTCATTTGTGTTGCCTCTGTAGGCAAGAGACTGAACCAGCATTCAAGAAATCTGCATTCAAGTCCCCAGGCTCTGTTTCATGACCTTGAGCAAATATATTCACCTCTGTGAAAAATCTTTCCCTCTGTAGAGAGTCAAAGAGGAGACGTGGCAAAATTCTGCTATCCGCAGATGTAAAATGCTAAGGAAGACCCAGTGTCATGGAGAGCAATAATATTTGGTTTTTTCCTTCTCTTTTGAAAAAGTCTCTCATGTAAATCGAAAGACTTGGCATCTTTTTCATTATTAAAAGCTTATTTCTGCTGAAAGAAGTGGTGTGTGAGATTTAGGTTTGTAAAAACATGTAGAAAAGACAAGAGTACTCTTTTCATGTGTGCCTGCAATTTCTAAAATGGAAAAATAAGACTGATGTCTCTGTGAATGGCCATGCCAAAGATAAAACTGAAGGATCATTATCAACATTACAACAGTAACATTTCAGTTCTGTTACTTCAGATGTCAGACAAAGCAGAGACAACACTGAATATCTACTTTTTACAAGAGAACTACTGCCAAAGATGAGCATTTCAGCATCAATATACTACATGATTAAAAAAAAATTATGACCACAGAACATATTCCACACTAAGTGTAATATAAAATGATTTTAGCCTAACTATACAGTTGGCAAAAAAGCAGAGGTAACTAAGAAAAATTATTATCTGTGTCTGTAAAAAAATAAAAAGGAAAAAAGCTGGTCAAAACTGATGTATTGAAGAGCACAAGTGAAGACAAATTCTAAATTGCCATTCAAAAGTAATTAAAATTATTTCTACCAAGCATAAGCTTGTGCTGAAAAAGAGCTGCAGACTAGTACTCAAACCTACAGGGTATTAAAGAAAGGCTTCTCTTACATCAATCTTTGATGTCTTTGAGAAAGCTCCCACAGGATGAACGTGATCGTACAGGATAATAACTCCCACCATCACTCGCATGCAGAACATAAGGGTCTCTTCACTGGTGAATCTACTCCTGTACTCTCTGCAAGACAGAACAAAGGAAATAAACATTCCAGACCTTTTACTAGACAATTTAAAAAACTATACTGGGAGTGTGTGAAATCTGAACCAAAAGTATATTTTAAGGTTGCAGATGCACATTAGTAGGACACTGAATATCAGTGAATTCTGTAAGCCTGTGCCAATTTACAAGAATGGTTAGAGAGTAGATAGATGTAAATCTCTCATCATACCCATGCACAGCTGAGATCCTCAAAATCTACATAGAAAACTTAATGAAATATAATGGAGACTGATCTGAAACACTCCAGTTTAATCACAGAAACACCACATGCCAGGACCTCAAAGGAAAGCCACTGCTTTTGCTTAAATTCCTACTTTGGAATAGTCCAGTGGGACCCAAGTTCAGCAGCTGGAAAGTTCAGGGTTTCACCAAGATGGATTTTACCAGTCATGCTCTCTCTCTCTCTTTCTCTGTGTGTGTACTGGAGTACCTCTCAGTCTACAGTAACTTCAACTTTTATTCTTCCACAGCATTGTAACATGAACAGACTTAAAGGTGACAGAAGTTTTGATGTGAAAATGCCTCATTATCCCACAATTAGAATTAAATATCAGATAATCTTCTAGATGACTCACAACTCCAGAATCTTCATGAACAAGCACAAACCTCAGGAGTTCTACCCTTTACATGGCTCCACGAACAAATGACTCATAGGCAGAAAGACTACCTTGACTCTACCTTATATGTGTTTTCCCGTTGAAGAGATATCTAACTTAAAATATACTCCACTAAATGCATAGCAAAATAAAGAACCGTACTGGCTATGCCTACACTAGCAGATATGAACACAATTGTACAGCTGAATACATTTATATGAATGAAAATTCATACAGCTGACTTTTTTCCTATCTAGAATAAGATGGCTGCATCCAAAAAAAGATCCACTTAAATGATTCTTGAAATAGCCCCTGTGTATTTGCTAAAGTACTGCCTGTAAGTGGCAAAATCTTGCCCTCTGTGTCCTAATAATTGAGCAGCACGGGCAAGCAGGAGGCCTTTTGCCCTGGTTAGACAAGACACAGACACTGAAGCCTGCGAGTGCATACGATTATTACACTATATTTTAACCTTTTGTGAAACGCAGGCTGACCATATAAGCTCTCCCCAATAGAACTCAACACTGCCTAATGAAAGATGTCATAAGGTGGTAAGAACAGGAGGCATGGCATTCTAACACCAGGCCATACTTTTTATACAAAAGAAGTACCAACTTAAGGCAAAGATACAGGAATTCACTTGGAAAATAATGTATTATCCCAGGTGGCTAATTAAAATATAAGTTTTATCATACAAACCCCCCAAGATTTAAGATAAAACTTACGGCGTTTCCAGCATGACTTTACAAACACTGGCCATAGTACTTAGACAATCCGTTGTATTTTCAATTGGTAATGTTTTGTTCTGGAAGGGTAAGAAAAAGGCAGTGTTCAGTAAACTATCTTGTAAAATTAAAATCAAGAATGTCTGTGTTAGACCTTTCTTCCCCTTTACGTACTTCTGATACAAAATGTGTCGTTGCATTACTGAGGGTTTTCAGCATTGGTGTGGCCTCTGCATAGAACAAAGACATCCTATTGGCCATTTCATTGTTCACTTCATTCTCAATGTCTAGCTGATAAAAACAGGAGAAAAAATAGTCAGTAAAGCTCTTTAAAATCTTGCCAGCAGCAAGAAAAAGATGAACTACATGCTCATGTCATAAAGCAGATTGTTACTTGAATAGTCCTCTTTAATCACTTCATCCGGACTGCTGATTAACACTCAGTGTGAAGGAAAGAACATGACAGCTACTGAATCAAAAGCAAAAACTTTACCAAAAATGGCATAAATGCATCCTGATAAATACCTCACTGCATGCAGCACATCAGAGTTTATTTACTTACATGCATGTTGTTTATTCTGTTGCGACTTATTGTCCGCCTGTAATAACTGAAGTCATTCTGAATTGCTGGGTTTCTCATCTTCCAGGAAGAGAAAGAGGAAATAATCAGTTTTGGTTCAAAATACACAGCAAGAATCAACATATACTGAAAGACTTTATTAACCTTAAGTTCATCAAAACGAAGAGTAAAATGTAAGATTTCTGCAAACTCTTTTGCTAGAGCCTGTTCCCGTTCCAGGTGCTGGGTTGGAGTGTACGGAGGGCATGTCAAGGATTCCAGTAAACTCTGCAGGGCTTTCTCTGAATAAAAGAAGCACAAATTGTAGTCAGTCCACACCAAGTTTTAACTACATATCTAAAAATACTGCCTTTGAAGGAAAGAAACCCTCCAAACATGCCAAGCCCTAAAGATGTTTTTTTTTACTATTCTGAAGTGAGAAGCATTAATTAAAGACACCTGCCTCTTCAGGCTCTGCCATTTCTCTCCATTTTGTATGACTGAATTATTTTCCATTTTTGTCACCCTTTATCTGGGATCCTTATCAAAAATTCTAGAGGAGGCATTTTTCTTGCATTCGGATATTCAACACTTTCATCCTCCTCAATTAGCCATCAGCTCAGTATAAAGATTATTCTGGCATCTCTGTTACTAAAAGTGTACTCTTGGGCAGTGATAGCAATATTAATCAGCCTCTGTGCCTGTAATTACAAGCATAACTCAAAAAGTGAAAGACATAGTTAGAGGATGTTGTAGAAAAAAACACTTGCACTAGGAGCCCTCTCTCTTCATACATGTATTTTCATTCCAGTGTCCTAATTCAAAGAGTAATTACATCACCTTCTGTGTTTATTGGGATGACAAAGCCAGTGTAAAACACATCCAACTTTGGATTTTCACCCTCTGAGAGAGTTTATTGATACACTTTCCCCATTTTAGAAAGTCTCAAAATGTGGGATCTCAGTCTCTCAGAACTGGGGGGCTCGGGAGTCCTGGAATGTTGCCAGAAATGTCTGGTGGCTGGACTTTGATCCCACATGGGAGATGACATCAGTATGAGGACGGGAGGATTTCACTGGAGTGAATGGTGAAGGGACAAGTTAATTGGAGTGTGAGATACAGGGTTTAAGATCCCTGTACAGGGGGGTCTAGAGAGGCAAGATGGAGGTACTGGGGCGTGCCCTTCTCCTTCTTCTTCTTCCTCTAAGCCTCCATCTTCTGTGGTGATGTTGGCACTCCGGGATTGGACCTTACTAGGGGAACACTGGTTAATAAGGGTAGAGGGTATTGGAGAAAAATGATAAATATTGTATACGTAACTCCGGGTATAAAGATAGGTGGCCGCCCCAGGGGCTCTCAGTGTGTGCCCATGGCTGACTGCTGAGCAGAACTCTGTCAGGCCAAGAGAAAATCTTTTAGATAAGCAATTAATAAACACCGAGACCGAGAACAAATCTGAAGCTTCCTCTCGTCCTTTCGAACCCCGGGGGCCCAAGGCCATCTTTGGGCTTTTCCCAGACCATCTAGACAGCACCAAAATCCGACATCAAAATATGATTGGCTTACATTCCTTTAAAGCTCCAGGGGATCCAAATTACAAAAAATAAATTGCATTAATCCAATATGGACCAGAGAAGTGCAGAAATGTGTCAGGAAATAGAGAAAAACAGCGTAGTTTTATCATGTTTTTTGCTTGTATGCTATTTAGGTAATATAGACTAACAATATATGAAATTAAGATTAAAGAGATGCCTTGATAAATGCAATTACTGTTAAATGTTCATTGATATCAAGCAGAAATAATATTAACTCTAGAAGTCTTTTAAAAAGTTGTGGAAAGACAAAATTTCCTCTTTCATTATATATAAAAAACATATAAAATGGAGATACTAGAACAGGGCTCACCTAATCTGAGTGAAAACTCATAAAAGCGCTTTAGCCTTACAACCAGGGGACAGACTGAATTCCATGCTTTTTCTTGCAGCTGGATATCATTGGGATTTTGTATTGCCTGAAATGAAAATATTACTGTAAAGAACTGTGATAAATAAATAACAAGCAGGGGATGGTTTGGAATTTTCCTATATTATTTTAAAAAGTATTGTAAAACACAGAAGAATTGTGAGAAATTACATTGCATAGGATTCAAAAAAATACCATGTTTTTCACCTTCCCTTTCCCCCTGTAACATACTGTTCCAAAATAAATCATTGCAGTGAACCATTGACACATAGAAATATGTTCTAACATATTCTTTTGGGAGCAAAACTACTGTAAAAACATCAGGTAAAACCTTTTGTGTAACTAGTGGTTGCAAAAGTTGTCTTTTTTTTTCAGGTTTTAATGCTTTTGAACACTTCAACATGTTGAGGTTTTTAAGTAAGCAACATGTCACACTAAGAGTACCCACAAATCTGATGCAGGAAAAGTTTTGGTCATCTGAGAAAAATTCTAAGTTACAGTTCAGAAGTGTACTTCAGGACCAGCTTCAGAGAATAAGATGCCTCTAAAGTGGATGTGAAATTATAATTTCTGAGGTTCATTATTCCACTTACAGAATAGAACTATCTGTATCATGTATTTCTGACACCTGAGTATTACTTCTTCCATGTCCTCAAATTTGACTTCTGCCATGAGATACATGAAACAAGGTATATGAAATGGTGTCTCTTGAAGTGAAAAACAGTAACTAATTGCTAACACAAAACCTCAAAGAAGTTCCAACAGCTATCATTTAATGTTTCAAGCTAGAGCTTCATACTGAATGTTATCCATAACCTGGTATGTATTTTATAAGTACATTTTAAGGAGATTTTCACTTCAGCTCACAGAATGTGCTTGGATAGAGAACAGAAGCAAGGAACACATCGAGTTTTGCCTGATTTTGCTTCTAAAGAACTGTCATTAACAAACATACATCTCTAATTTCTTGTCCAGCTCCTTTGTAAGCCTGAAGGTCTGCAAGCATGCTTTCTGAGTCCTGTAAAACTGCACTGATCTGGTTCCAGACCTCCCTTTCTCCATCCGTGGGCTGTGCATCTAAGAAAGAGAAAAGCAAAACGCACAAAGTCAAAAGGAAGCTGCAGTACAAATGGCAACATTACACAGTTCTACTTAACAATACCATATGCAGCTTGAGTATGTGTAACTCCATTCTGATGTAGCTTTTTTCCAAATATACAATTATACAGCCATTCTGCTAACATCCAAGCTTCTGCTTTTTATAGCAAGGAAGGAAGAACAGTACAGTTTTTGTATGCTCTGGCTCATAATGCCTCTTCTCATAATGCAGCATTTTAAAGAGCAGCAGTATCATAAAGCAATGTTATTGGAAAATAGGATAATGCATCAGTCCCTCTCTTTCATGAGCTCCATGGCTCAATTACAAAGAATTGCTCACTTTTCTTGCAGCTTGGGGATAAAATCAGGCCTTTCAATAGATAGAGCAGTAGGATATTGCTCCACTTTGACTTCCCTCCAGGCTTCCTCAACCAGGGTAATTTATTTCTCCTTTTGTAAAACAGATAGAGTGCTATTAAAAATAATTTTTTCTTATGTATGTCAGGGATCATTCCTGACACTAAAATAAATCCAGCTCTGCCAGTTATCAGTTTTCAGGGTGTGAGTGACCTGTAGACCTTTACTGTTGAGAGAAATGACATTTGAAATTAGATCAATTATCCTATTCAAATCTCTTCCTATGGGATTTACACAGCAGTGTGACACCAGGGAGTTATGTTATCCCCAGAACACTGACACATTAGACAAGGTAGAGATTTTCTGTCTTCTTTTGCTTTAAAACATAAAGATGACAGGCACTGACCAAAGACGGGATGACCAACATATGGGATTGCAGTCTATATGTGAAGGGACAATGAGAGCTCTACGGAGACACAACTATTTCTTCCCTTAGATTCGTTTTAGCTTCTAAAGGTAGAATGTTAATTTTTATGAAAGAAAAAAATCACCTTGAAGTTGAATCTTAGAACTTAAAGACTATTTGTCTGAATTAAAAGCAGTGAGGTAAGTTCAGTTCAAAACTCAACAACTAGGATGAGCTACTGTATTAATGGCTACATTAATAGACAAGAAATATTAAAAACACCTATTCTATTTAGGTTGTCCCACTCTCCTTAAGAAAACTGACAGAATTTTCTACCCATGTATCAGTATCGGATTAATTTATCCAGTCCACATAAGAAACAAATGAACTGGTTCACACTGGAGTATATGGAAAACAGGCATTCTCTCCATGGTGTTTCAGGTTAGGATAATTTGTTTAAATGTATGAAGTTACCTATGGACCTCGCACAAACAGGACACAAATGTTAATTAGATTTAAATGTCTGTAGCTTCAAAGCAACTCATACTTAAAACCCTTCCCAAATTCCTATGGTACCATGAGTTCCAAGAGACTGGGCACATAATACTGATTGGACTTTCCTTTTGTTCTGGAAGTTTTCCTTTCTCTTATTTAAAAAGTTAAAATAAATATAAACTGGGCTTACTTAGCTGGGTTTTATAGTCAAAATATTTCATCTAACTAAAAAATTCCACTATTCTTCAAAAAGTATGGGAAAGGAGCATCGAAGGGGAAAACTCCCCACAGGAAAATCCCATCTGGGACATGGCTATTGAACTGACCCAACAGTCACTTTAAATTTACAGTGTTCTAGACTGGTTCTTTCCTCAAGCTGCAAGAAATCTCAGGTACACACCGTAAGGGGTTTGCCATCTTGTGATAAAGAAGCAAAACAGAAAACTCTTCTGACTTTAAGAAGGAAAGCAGTGATCCTGAGAAACAGTTACACACCATACAACAACAGAGCAGGGGAAGGTGGGAGTCACATAAAAATCAGTATCTATATTTTATTAGTTAAGATAATGAAAATAACATTTCAGTGAATACTAACACAAGAGAGAATAAATAACTTGTTAGTGCAGTTCATGAATGTCAAATTTGCATGTGCAGGTAACCTGAAGCATCTTGTTTAACCTTGTTGGTTAACAAGGTACTTCTATGTTAATTTTTACAATTTATTTGCTTTAAAAGTACTAGTGCTTAAGGGGGATGCAAATGCTATAGACTGCCCAGCACTTTGGGACTTCAAAAAGGCCTTTAATAACATCCCTTATTGTAAGTCTTTTTCGAAAGTTCCCAATTTATCTTTTGGAAGTTGGTGGAAGGAGGAATATTTGAAACTCATTGAGCTTTCTGTAGTATCCCAGCACCTGGAGATAGAGTAGGAGCAAAAGCCAGGTAGGTGTGTGGAAGAGGGAAAGAAAGGGAAGGGAGAGGAAGAGGGCTGCAAAGGCTCCAGAGCAGCAGGCTTAGCTTGCACTTGCAGAAGCAGTTTACATATATGTTGGAAGTATTTAGCTTAAAAAGAAAGGTACGGAGGATGATTCAGGCTTCTTTTTTTTTTTTTTTTAAACATGCATTTATTTATGAAATAGAAGTTATGCAAATAGATGTTCTGATAAGACCATGGCCATTTTTCAAAAGGGATTTTACAAGAAGATCCTACCAAAAATGGTCAGCTAAAATAACTGAAATGGATCACTTTGAAAACAATTTCATCTTACTGTCAACAACAACAATAATAATAATGGCAGCAGCAACAACTAAAAGGAATTGAGACGACTTCATGACATATTTTGACTTTTAGAACTGGCTTGCTATGTCAATGAAACCAAAGCTTGTTTCTCTGCTCTGAATTAAGCAATGCCAGTCCTGAACCATGGTGTGGAATCACTGGTTGGCCGTGCTCACCTCTTATCCCCACGCTGCCAGAGAAGCAGCAAGAGCTTCAGAAACCTGAGCCCATTCATAAATAAAACCACTCCCACTGGCCAACCCATGTGAATGCAAACCCCCTCAGTAGCAAGTTACCATAATGGCCAGACTCACTGCATTTCAAGATTGAGTTTTTAGAATGCTCAGGACTAGCAATCAGAGCATTCTGTCTTTAGACAAAATAGAAAACCCTTTTACCTCCCTTTGGACAGATGTTTCTGATGTGAACCCTAAACTAAACAACTACATGAATTCTGTATCAAATTAATGCAAGAGTCAGATGAGACCTGAATCTCCCATATACAGATTCTACCAGCAAAATTTGAAAATTTTAGATCTGGAAAGAAATACACTTCCACTGGCTCCATCAGAAATAACCAGGACATGGTAATTCATCCATTCCAATGAACACGTGCTCTTTTTCAAATTTACACATGGCCTATGCCATGTTTTGGATGGAACTTCAGACTTCAAAAAGAACAAGAGGAAACCTGGACCCAATACTGTCCATTTGTGGATGCATTAAGAATTTCAGGTGAATGCTAGGGCATGAAAGTGGGGTCATGATTATTTTCTTAGCAAAACACCTGACATTTGTTTCAGAAAACCCTCCTAACAGAGTTAGTTAGGGTTAGCTATCTACCTCATCCTTCACCAAATGTGCATTAGAAATAAACACAGAAACCTCTAGATAGGTAAAACATTAGTATTCATACGATAAGACTAAATATAGAAAGGATGTGATGCCTTTACCAATACCAAATGAAGTACAAAAATACTTCAGTAATCAATTTTAATGAAGAAAGAACAGTACTATGAAGAGTACTAACAACAGGACTACAAGAAGCACTTCCAACTCACACACCCTTTCTGAATCTGAAATGCAGAACAAAAGCTGAGAACTTTATTCCACCCTTCAGTGGTTAAGAAGATGCCTACTGAGGCTGGTTAGTTCTTCCATTTCAGTGAATGTAGAATCATATTTGTTGTAAAAATACCATGCCCTTCTGGCCTCCACAGCACAGGAAAAGAAAGTGAGTTAAACAAGAGCTTTCATGGGTTCTGCTTTCAGCTTTTCTTGTCCTGCCCACTGCTGAACATGGCAAATAATTCCTCAGCCAGCAAGTTAGAGAGCAGTTCACATATTTAACTGCATAATGCTAAAGTCCTATTTCAGATTTGTCACCATGACAATCTGGGACAAAATTAAAAGAAAATCTCAGAAATGAGCAAAAGCATTATAATTACAGCGAGTAATGCACTTTTGAGGGTACCAGAACCTGCTCCACTCCATACATCAACGAATCCCCAGTATTGGATAGAAACAGTACCCTATCCAGGCTACATGGGATTTTTGAATTTCATTCTGTCTGAACTAGCTAGAATAAAGTGAAGCTCACAAAACTGTTAATTCTGGCTCCAGGCAGGGTGCTGTGCCAGCGAGATGCGTGCCTGGGTTCAGCTCTGTGGTAGATGGGGGATGGACACACAGCACCTCTCTGGCTGAGCTGCAGTTTCTGCCTCAGGCATTCCACAGCTCGGGAATTGAGTGCAACCTCCCACAGGCTGGACCCAGATTATATCCTCAGCCTTGCTGCCTGAGCAACAAGAGTATTAATTAATAGCCTATTATGTGAAAAGTGGGCAGTTGCTCTGCTGCCAGACACATTCTAATAATAGACCCTTTTAATGGTACATGAATAATAACTGAAAATTTCATTAATCTTTTTGGGGATATGGGGAATCCTAGAAAATAAGATTCTTGGAGGGGATGAGAGAGATTTAACTAGGCTCAAGTGAAATCCACCTAGCTAAGAGTAAAAAAAAAAAAAAAAAAAACTGCCCACATTAAGGATAAAAAACATCTTATAAAAAGTATTTGAGGAGAGGATGGAACTGTAGGTGTCACTTAAGGACATCTTTGAATACTCTATAAGCATAGTCTTTTAGATTCAAGTTAAATTGCTGCCTCAACTTTCAAATTATTTCCAAGAATTCATGTGGAATTATTTGTTTACTTTGCCTGAAATGGCAGTGATTTGACAATAGATTTTCTGCAAAAAAGAGCAATTTTAAGATGGTACAGAAAGAGCTCAAATACCCAGAATTAATTTATCTGCAACTAATTTAAATAAGGTCAACATTTAAAGTACAAAACAGCTCTTGAACTGACAAAACTGACAAATCCATTTCAAGAGAATTTGATGTGAAATCCTGAAAGCCACAGACTCTCAAGACTTGCCACTCTCAAGACTTGCCAGGCGCTCACTTTTCCTAACATGATTTTCAAGCTGAGCACTAAGAAGGAATTAAGGTAAAGTAAATGATATATAATCAAACCAAGAGGTAGTAGCTTGATTAAAAATACTCCCATCAAGATCCAAGTGTAAAAAGCAAAATGGTGCACTTTCTAATAAGGATGAAATTATTTTTCTCTATTTAAACCTTTCATTAGACCTTAAAAAAGAGTAATTTGGCTGAATGCATTAATTCTACAATACCCCTTTAAAGAAAAGGCCTTTCCACCTGCATGGAGAACGTTATTCTCCACACAAACCCAGCAAAACTGCCCAACTCTAAATGAGTACTGGGGAGCAAACAGAACTGCATTTGCTATACAACATTAAGTGAAATTAATGCTGGATTCAAGTTTTTCAAGTGTGACCATGGAGTTGCAAAACTTGATTTCCAGTTTGGATTGAAGAAAAATGTTAGGTGTCAAAAAGGATTGCAAGTGACAATGTGGACACCTGCATGAAAGTAGGGGAAAAGAGATGATGTAAAACTTTTCTTTTTTCTGTTTTTTTTTTTTTAGTAGCCAGCTAATGAAAAAGCCCACAGAAACTAAAAAGCAAGATGCTGATACAAATAATGAATACAGTAAACACATCAGCTCAGCACACCTGTCATCCTCTGAATGGCCAAGTGTAGTGACCATGTTCACCCATGAGCTCAAAGCCACACATCCAGCAAGGCCACACCAGACTCTGCTCCATGTCCACTCACTCAGAGTGTCCCTTTCCACTGTACAATAGCCAGCTACAGGAGACCAAAGCACAAATCCACAGCCCTTGTTTTAGTCACATCCCTTTGAGCCAATACAGATTTTGTGCCACTAAAAACCTCTGGGACTGTACTTTGTGAAAAAAACTTTTAAACTTTCACTTACAAGTATGAAATTCTCTGAAATTTGGAGTTGACAGTTTTGTTCCTCTCCAGGTAAGTGTGCCTGAGTAATGTGCCCTAACCACTGGCACCTCCTGTGGGACAGGGTACTTCATTCAGTTCTTGGCCACGTGCTTTTGGAAAGAAAAACAACCTTCACTGCCAAGGCAACAAATTTGGTATTTCCCCCTCTCACCATCACCTCTACCAAGGCTCCCCACTGCCAGAGCAGCTGTTCCTGCCAAGCCTGCAGCCTGGGTCAGGAACACTTTCTTGCCAACAAGGACACAACGGGGCTGATTAAACCTGTAAGCTCAGGGCAGCTGAAAGCTTTCACAATAGCTTGGCAAAGCCACAGAGCACTGCCAAGGCCCTCAAAAGTTTGGTAGAAAAAAATTAAGTGGTGGTTTGGATAGAGGTTTGACATCCTGGGGTGACAGCAAAGTTTTACAAATTATATAGACAGAGAAGAAGGGATAGGGCTCCTCCTAAACCCAAACTAACCAATTAACCTTTTTTTCATATTTTAAAACTAATTTTTCATAATGAGGTAATTAAGCTCTAGATGAGAAGATTAAGGTTTGTGCACAGTTCTAGTCATACATTCTAGCTCTCAACTAAGAATGCATGTTTGAACAATTTCATCAGATTTAAATATGCATTTAAATGACTTTTTGAAGCAGTGCTTCTGAATGTACACAGACATACATGCTTATAACATGCCAGTTACTTCTTTCAGAAAATAATTTAGGAATAAATTATTAAAGAACAAAACTATTTAAAGATGACAAAATATGTGTCTAATCACCTGAAATGCTCTTTTAAACCATGCTACAAAAGGAAAATATTTTAAAACCACTAGATTTTCTCAAAACTTTTTGGTTTGCTTATTTTTTTTTTCTTTTTAGAACACAGGTATTAAGAGAGAAAAAGTCACACACTGTTTGTGTTTCAAATAAAATACATTTCATGTATGTGGTGAAGACAGATTTAACCCATATTAAAGGATTTGGTGACAGTGTCTAGAAGTAGATGCAGGGAAACTGTAGTCAGCAAAAGTGAAAACAGCTTTGGATCAAATATGGATGTGACAAGAGAACTGGAATGGGAAACACTGTTCTGCAACTGATAACCATGCCTGATAACTGATAATCATTTAGAGAGATGCAATCAAGCACATACACTTTGACCATTTCACTACTTTTTAGAAACTATAAACCCAGCTAAATCATCACCAAACCAAGCAAAAATAGTTCCACCTCCACTACTTTTTTCCCCAGCTTTTTATTTCCACATGTATTTGCATTCAAGAATCATAATTTTTTTTAACCCTGATTTGTTAAAGAAAGCTGAGGTTGAGTTCATTCATATGTAAGTTTAACAATGGTTCATAAATGTTTTGAATTTAATTCAAGATAGGGTTTTACTTGCATATCTGCCTCTCTGCCCTTTTCTCTGCTCAGAATGAAGTAATTTTGTATGGTTTTATAAATATCAGAAAGTAATATTCTACTGAAGTGTAATTTAATTTGTTTGCAAATCCCTTTTGAATTGCTTTATGATGCATAAGCACATGCAGTTTATTAGGAAATAAGCAAAGAAGGCAAGCCAGGCAAGAAGCTTTGCTCACTTTCAAAGTCAAGGAAAAAATTTGGCCCCTGATCAAGCTCTGTGCAAGTGAGAACTTTTAAAAGATTTCCCATTTGGTTCCTGAAAAATAGAAAAGGAAGAGAAAAGGAGTCCTGAGTGAACAAATTATTTTAGAGACAAGGACTTGGACAGACTGGTTGTGCTGGAAAATACACACTGTAAGCAATCAGATTTTAAGTTTTTCCACAGTTTGCTGCTAAGTCAAGGAAAAGATTTTCTCATTGTCTTGTAATTGTTTGAACTTACTTTCAAAATCCAGGAAAAAATGTGGATAGTTTTCAATTTCCCTGGTAAGGACCTTAAGAAGATTACCCATCCCAGCAAACCTAGTAAATGCAACAAAATCATAAACAGTTATACATGTAAACTCAGAATACTACAGCTAAGAGCTTGACACAGTCTGCATCATAAATTCAACATTTTGGCAAGTTCTGGACCATGAGAAACATTTTGATGGTCAATTCTGTGATATTTGTGTAGGAAGACCTCAGATAAACACAGAAATAATTCTGTTCAACAAATTGGAATTTAAACATCAGGATAACATCCTAGTGTATAAACAGATATTTATGAATTTATTCACTTAGCAAGAGAAATAAACTCAGAGCTATATCTCTGTTAATTCTCTAAATTGCTGGACTCCAGATTACTTAATACCATTTCAAATTAAAAACTGACATCTTAACACTTTTCTTAGATCTTCAGCAAAAATCCATGTCATTTTAAGAAAATAACTCACTATAAGGAAAAAAAATCTACTTGTTTCTAGTCAGTAAGATTTTAACAAGATTACTACAGAAATCTACCAAAAAGGACAGTTAAAAAGCTTTTTAGCTTTTAAAAGTGTATGTATGCACTTTAAAAACAGAAAGAGAGTAAAAAGGGGAGGTTTGAACCCTATTTTTTATCTGTTATTCCTATCTTTTATCAAATTGGAATTCTTTGGATTTCAAGTTATGAACAACTTCCAAAAGGAAAAGTGACCAGTTCTTAAAAAAGCAAGTCTCTACAGAAGATAAAAAGGAAGGGATTTGAAAAAAGGTTCTTTTGCCAGTCCAGTCTTTAGGAAGGTAAGTTATTCCAACACTGTGTAGAAGAAGAGCTTTCTTGGTCAAACTTAAACTTTCTCTCAGAAGACAGAAAAATTAAACCATGAAAAGCACATATCAGGATAAAGAGATCTGCCTGGAGGGATGTAGAAAAATGTAATTTTAGATTTAAAACACAGATTGAAAACTGATTTTTGCCTCAAAGAGAAATATTCTCATTACTTTAAACCACGGCTCTTGGGGATCACATCTGATGTTCATCTGTGATTCAGTTTAACTCTTTTCCCACTTAAGAAATCAGACCACAAAAAATTATTCTAAGCATGTACATGGCTGATACTCCACATAAGGAGACAAAGCTTTTTTCAAGTTTTCCCACAAGCATTACAGTAGGAAAAGAATCATCAACCCCAATTTCTATGTGCATATAAAGGATGTATTTCTACATCAGTGAAACCTAGGAAAGTAATGTGAGGCTTGGAGATTTCAAAGCAGCCACAGTCATAACATAAAACGATATAAATTTAATCAATAGTCTGTTCAGAACATGCAGTTTCATGTAAGCAAGGCTTTTGTTAAATAAATGGCTTTGTTTTGCATTAAATACTTCTTCAAAGTTTTCTCTCCAGAACAAATCCAGTGAGCAGACTGTCAAGCCCTTCGTAATTAGCAACATCTTGCATATACAAAATTGAAACACAAAGAAACATTTTCCATTATTCAGTTACATTCATTACATGCAGGAAAAATATTTACACTTCTACTCTCAGAACAAAATCAGCACCTTATACACTGAGTTTGACTTTCTGATTAGCCTACAAAGGGGAAAAACATGCAAACAGAGCAAAATAGATTTTATACAGTGTTAAAACTTATATCTTCAATAATTTAATACTTTCATCACACTGGTATACTACATTTCATCAGCATCAGCTAGGAGAAACACGATAAAGTACACACATTTATTTTCCTTTTCATAACCTTGGAAAAAAAAAATTATGTAATAGTATCACAAACGACATGACTGACTCAGCTTGGATTCTTCACCTTCAGCTCTTTTTAAGCCATAACTTACCTCATCGCCTTCAATCTTCAGAGAGTACCCAAGCATTTCTTCTGCTGCCAAAGCTTGCACTGCATCCAGAACTGGTTTAGCTGATAGCATGCTTCGAACAGCGAGGAAGCCTTTGTGCCAAAAACCTGAGGATACGCTCCCTCATTTGCATGGAGTCGCTTGGGGTCATGTGCCCAAGCTCTGCCTCTGATCCTTCTTAAACAAGTACAGCACATCTCAGCATGGGAGATTTCTGAGTGCTTTTCCAGAACTTTTGTTACATTTCCTAGCTTGTTTTTTACATTATTCCCTCTCCTTCAATCCCTTTGTGGAAACTGATCCAGCTATTCAGGTCACAAGTACGGAACAGAAGCCTACCACAAACTTATTATACTCACACATGTTCATGCAGGTGACATTTTCCAGTGATCCTGGAGGCTCTGGTTTGACACTACCCATTTTCAAAGCACACCAACCCCCAAAATAGTCATATTCAACATCAACATCCAGGAAAATATGGTTGAGGCAGCTACTAAACATGTTTTAATTATTTTTTATATAATTTCTTAATGGTTTCCTAAAAAACAAAACTAAAAGCAACATCTGGTTCCATGAAACTTTCACTTTCAAGTGTAATTCATCATTCAACACTAAATTTTAGTTTCAAATTAAAAGGCAAAACTTAAAGGAAGTGCTAATAAAATGCAAATCTTTGCCTCAAACTGTATTATTTTATTCTGCATAGCCTGCTGCTTCTCAGTACTTGGCTCTTTCAAACTGTCTTCCTCAAAAACTCTAATAACATATTCCAAACCTCAGGAACTGAAAGTCACCTCCAGGATAATTTTAATGAGATTTCAAAGTAACTAACAGCACATATTCTGAGCAGGTCTATATATATATCCTGTGATTGCAAGAGAAATGCAAATAACAGCTGATGTACAGAAGCAAATCATAAAGGTTTAACACAGTAGCATAAAACTCTATTTCATTGAACCGGAAAGCATTTTATTTTACTTACTGTAAAATCAGTTTAAATGTTGAACTGAGACTCAATGCATATATAAAAATATTGCTGATGCTGCACCACTAAATGTTAGCAGCTTCTCTTTAGTGTTTTAATCCCTTAAAATTCCAACTTGTAACTATGCTTTAAAAACTATGACATGTTGACAACGGTGTCTGTATTTTTCCCTATTGTTTTCCAAACCATTAAAGCTTACCCGAAGATATTATATAAGCATATAGAAAATAGTTTTTAAGCTATTGTTGACATTTTAAAGCTCATTGCCTAATTTTTGATGCTCAACATTTAATTAGTAGCACAGAGACATAAATAAACCATAATCCAGCAATGAACAGGAAGGTACATTTAGCATTTTATTTACCATTATCCAGTAGTGGGTTTTAAAACTTGAGCTTTGAACAAAATATCACAGGCTGGTTTTCCAACAAATAACTGTGTTCCTAAAATTCCACTGATTTAGTTTCAACATTCTAGAGGCATCACCTTGTATGGGAAAATAAATTCTTTCTATCCCACTAAAGCAATCAGTTTATTTCTGAATTGCGATATATAAAATACTATCCCCCCCACCAAAAAATCAGAATTCAACCCCACAAATCTGCCATGGATTTTACATACATGTACTGAAAGTATACTGAAATATATCTATTATATGCTTAAATCCACTTTTGAAAATATAGTAAGTGTTCCCAAACTGCGTATTACTAACTGAAGACTGAATATCGTGTTCAGTGTATCAACACTTCTTTTAAATTTTGGTTTACACTGTTTTAAGCAACTACCCAATTCTCAAGAGTGGAGTTTTGTACCCCTTTCAAGTAACAGCTACAGTACTATACAAACTGCTAGAGAAGTACTGATTGATTTATTCTCTTAAAGGACTAATTTAATCAGTACCAATCCAAAACCAGCAGCAGCACTGCAGTACACTGAAGATTTAACAGAGAGAAAAAGCTTTAAAACTTTGTGTTAGTGAAAAAGGACACATTCACCAGCTCAAGCCTTTGCAGCTCATCAGTGCTCCTTTGCCAGATAATATTTCCTAAATCTGTCTGCTCACATAAACATGGTCTGAAAGGCTTTTGTCAAAATGAGCTGGATAAGCAAATACCTACTGCTTAACCCCATTTAGATCATCCTAACCAAAGCAGGGCTTCTGCATGTTTTCATGAGCAGCTCCACTGGGAGTTTCAGGAGAAAGGCTCCCAAGCTAAGGAGTGGCAATGGATGATTCAGAATGATGACTTCTAGTGGCACACCTAAGTGGGTAGAGACAGGAGGCATCCAGTCCACAGTCTGAGGGAAATGTACTAAGCACATCAGCATCATTAAGATACTGGACCTGACCTTACTGCATGAATAATTAATTGTGGTTTCAAAAATATACCAGAATCTGAAAAAACTCAAGACCTCTCAGATCAAAAGTATGATTTCAAATCCCTGTGATATTCACTCATACAGTTTGTTTAAGTGCTTGTAAGGAAACAGCAGAAGTGCAAGATTCAAAAAATTATCTTGGGGAAACTGGCTGCTCATGGCCTGGACAGGTACACAGGGTAAAAAACAGTGGTGGTGAATGGAGTTAGATCCAAATGGTGGCTGGATACCAGTGGTGTTCCCCAGGGCTCAGTACTGGGGCCAGTCCCAGTCAATATATTTACCAGGGACCTGGATTTGTAGTTGTGAGGCCACACCTCAAGTGCTGTATCCAGTTCTGAGCCCCTCACATCAGGAAAGGCATGAGGTGCTAGAGCACGTCCAGAGAAGGGCAGGGAGCTGGGGAAGGCTCTGGGGCACAGATCTGCTGAGGAGCGGCTGAGGGAGCTCGGGGTGTTTAGCCTGGAGAAAAGGAGGCTCAGGGGAGACCTTAACACTCTGAACAACCGCCTGAAAGGTGGCTAGAGCCAGGGGGGCTTGGTCTCTTCTCCCAGGCAACTGGCGTTAGGATGAGAGGACATGGCCTCGAGCTGCACCAGTGGAGGCCCACGTTGGATACCTCAAGGAAAAGAGTGGTTAAACACAGGAACAGACTGGCCAGGGAGGTGGTGGGGTCACCACTCCAAAAGTGTTCAAGAAACAACTGGACATGGCACTTGGCTCTAGTTGGCATGATGGTGTTCAATTAGAGGTTGGACTCAATAATCTTGGAGCTCTTTTCCAACCTCAATGATTCTGTGATCAACTGCACTCTCAGTT